TAGAAGCTGTCTCCATGGCAGCTGTCCAGCGCTGCCAGGCCCCTTTGTGACTCCCATTCAGTGTGTGTGTGTGTGTGTGTGTGTGTGTGTGTGTGTGTGTCACAGAACATGCACACACTCACACAGAATCAGAAGTAATTGAAGAAGTGGAATTTTCCAGAATCTTCAAGAACTTTGAGCGGCTGTTCCCTGAGAGTTCCTCAAGACATCCTGTCAGGTGATTTCCCGCTGCCAAGATGAAGGTGGCAGAAAAGAGAATCCATCACTCCAAACGGAATGGAAATGAAAACGCTGCAAAGCAAATAGCCGAAAATCTCACAAGTGTCATTCACTATTCGAAAAGACTGTTTTTAGACAACATAATAATCCACTGCAACGTTTATTCTGTCGGCAGGATTATTACGGCACGATTTTACCTTTCCATCTCTAGTGGCGTGGTGTGATTTCTTTAGCAGTCATCCTTTGTCTTTGCCAAGTTTGGGGTTAAGATTAATCTGAGCACTGACTTGGGGAGAGGAGAAGGATATGGCACTAACAGCCAGCAGAAGTGTGAGAAGCCTCTCATGCCTTCAGTCCTCTCACACAATCCCAAATGGTGCCTCTCAAGCACGCTTGCCCTCAGCATGGGCCTGTGTCTAGTCCCAGGCCTGGCCCAGCTCCCCTTCTCTGCTTCCCTTGTATTAACTCAGCAGTTCTCAACCTCCCTGAGGCTCCGACACTTTAATATAGTTCCTCGTGTTGTGGTGACCCCAACCATAAAATTATTTTTGTTGCTACTTCATAACTAGTGTTATAAATTGTAATGTAAATAACAGTCTTAAGCCATCAGAAACCCACGGATTGACAATCTCTGTATTAGGGTCTAGTTTTTTCCCCAAGCCTTGCTTGACTACAGCAACAAACACTGTTCCCTCACTAGGTAAACAACCTTTTGCCCTTTTCAGCTAAACTTATTTCAGCATTTCGATGTCAAATTCCCAAGGAATGGCAGGCTGTACACCAGCTAGGTAGGCCTTAACAGCTTGGTCCATCGCTCGTTTGGAAACACTTTCTTGACGTTCTTCGTTTCTCTGGCCCACTGTGCCCTCACTTGGGGTCTTTGTGCACCTCTTCATGTCCTCAGCCTTCACACTGCCTCTCCGCTCTGCCCACATCTCCATACGGCCACTTTCACACGGCCGCTCCCAGCCACGCGCCGTGGGAGTCACATCTCTCTCTCGTTCATCTTCACACAGCTGCCCTCTTGTCTCTGTTCTATGATCTTGGAGCCAGCCTCTTTTGAGAAATTGATTTATATCATTTTTAACGTACTTGAGGAACTGACTACCTTTGAGATGTGAGTCATCTGACCTAAAGGTATTCATCTTTCCTATCAATTCTGTGTGTGTGTTTGTGTCTCTCTCTGTGTTTCTGTGTGTGTCTGTGTCTATTTGTATGTGTCTCTCTGTGTTTATGTGTTTGTGTGAGTGTGTGTGTGTGTCCCTCTGTGTGTATGTGTTTCTGTGAGTGTGTGTGTGTGTGTGTGTACATGTTTCTGTGAATGTGTGTGTCTGTGTGTACGTGTTTCTGTGAGTGTGTGTGTGTGTTTGTTTCTGTGTGTGTGTGTTTCTGTGTGTGTGTGTGTCTGTGTGTACATGTTTCTGTGAGTGTGTGTGTGTCTCTCTGTGTGTATGTGTTTCTGTGAGTGTGTGTGTGTGTGTGTGTGTGTGTGTGTGTCTGTGTCTGTGTTCAGCAGTCAGGCTAAGTCTGTTGTGCAAATGTTCCACCATGTCAAAAGTCACATTGGAACAGCTCCAGGTTCCTTCCCAATGACACAGTCCATGCCAAACACAGGTACAAATAAAGCTCCCGAATACCTGCGACAGGCCAGCGTGAAAAAGGGAAAGAGCACAGAGGAACTTCAAAGAAGATAAAATACTGGCATGAGCCAGGAAGCTTTGAAATTAGAATATGGAAAGAAAATGCTGAGTAAGGAAAAAAGGCTTTCCTTAGTTCATTCAAAGTTGCACATGAGACCTACGGACTCAGTTATTTTCATTATATCATCATCCTTACATGTGGCAGGAGAAAAAACCCACCTTCCTTCTTGCTGTCAAGTTTATTTGCATTTTTCTGGATTTCCATTTTATCTTTATTTGTTTGAAGCTCCAGAATGACTTAGGAGCTTTAGTCTTTGATCCTGGCTAATCTCATGCCCTTTCCAACCCTCTGATGTGAACTGAATTCAAGTCAGTAAACCCAGGAGGAACTTACTGTGACATAACTCTGGACCGTGGAGAGGGCCACTGGCTGCTGCATTCCTGCAGTCACAGCACTTCTGAGGCGGTCTCTCTCCGGAGGCACTAAGTCCAGCGTACCCTAAGTAAGAATGTCAATCATTTGCTTGTAGGGCACGGGGCACCCTGAGCGTTGGTGATAGAGGCTGCCAGAGTCCAGAGGAGGCCAGGAACGGCAGAAGAGAAAGGAAGCAGGAAGCAGGCATAGGTAGACCTAGAAGCCGGGATTTGGAGACGCTGGGGAGGAAGCAGAAATGATCCCTGCTCTGGCTGGTATTTTTAGCTCCCTTCTCCAGTCCAGTTCACTGGCCCACTTCTCCCTCAGAAGCGCTGCTTTTTTCCTTCTTATTAAGCTCTTTATTTCTATTTAAAAAAAAAAAAAGGAAGAAAGAAAAAAAGAAAAGAAAAGAAAGAAAAGAAAATTCAAGAGAAACAACAGGATTTGGCTGAATGGAGATCAACAAGGACTGTGATTTTAAATCTTGGATCTTCAATGTGGCTTCTTTTCCACTCGGGCCACAGTCAGACACCTCTCATGCAGTGGGTGAATCACACTGAACTGTGAATGAAAGTAGAGTTTCTTCCCAAAAGGGGTGATCTATAAGACACTTCCCTCATGAGCTGCTCTGTTCTTCCTCCTCATCCTCCTAATGAATGAAGTCTCCTCTGAGTCTGAAGAGCTTGGGTCCAGTTTTCATGGCAATTGACTTTCCTTGATACTAAAACAAAAATCTATACTTTAAATATATATATATGTGGGTGCTAGGAATTGAACCCACGCCCTCTGGAAGAACAGTCAGAATTCTTAACTGCTGAGTAGTCTCTCCAGCCCCTAGTTCTACCATCTTTAGAACAAATACAGGGAGTGGGGATGAGACAGAGAAAAAGAAAGGCTGAGCGTTTCATCGAAAGTTATCTTGTTTTCCAGTAACATCAAACAAGATTGCAAATCACTAAGGAAGTAGAGGCAGGATTATCGGGAGTTTTAGGCCAGCCTACCTATATAGGGTATCTGAGATCTCCTGTCTCAAAAACAGAAAACTGAAGCCAGGCCTATAATCCATGTAAAGAATGATAAGGAGGTTATTCACAAAGCTTCCGGCTTTAGCATAGACTAGAAATCTTTCCCACCCCTGGTGAGAATCATTCAGACCAGCTCAGCTTAAGTCTTGTACCTACCTAGGAACCAATCAGAAAAGCTAGGAAATATGATGTTGGCCTTGGTCAGCCCTGGGCAGAGTAGACTGTTTCATCCCAATTCTGCACAGAGGGAAGAAGAGAATGGTTCCCCACGAAGAAATCAGAGTACTGCTTTTAAGGAGGGAAAATGGATACTGGATCTGAAGTCAGTAAAAGTTGAACGTTTTACGTGCCGGACATTCTTAATTATTAATTAGGACTTTGTAAATGGATTAAAACTAATAAATAACAGGCATTAAATACTGTCACTCAGAATAATTTGCATCACACACCAGAAAAAAACAAACTAATTAATGAAAATTGCCATGATATCTTTTCACCGTCGCCACAAATTCTTCCTTAGCAGACCAAAGCTCTTGGCTCTCTTGGACTCACTTTGTAGCTAGACCAGGCTGGCCTTGAACTCACAGAGATCTGCCTGCCCCTGCCCCCTGAGTGCTGAGATTAAAGGTGTGCCCCACCACACCCAGTAACAGTATTCAGTATTTAAAATATGACTAGCATACAATCGATAATATGCTTTCATACTTTAAATATGTGTATTTTAGCCGGGTGCTGTGGCCCATGCCTTTAATCTCAGCACTCTGGGGGGCATAGGCAGAGGAGGCAGATCCCTGTGAGTTCGAGGACAGCCTGGTCTACAAAGTGAGTCCAGGACAGCCAATCTTGTCTGGACTCAGAAATCTTGTCTCAAAACAAACAAAACATTTTAAAATTTTTATTTAAAATTGTGTATGTATATGCGCACATGAACACGTGCCCCAGAGGCATAAAACCCTGTGGAGCTAAAGTTGCATGCAGTCGTAAGCCAGCTGCCTTCAGTGCTGGGAACAGAACTGTATTCATCACTGAGTCATCCCTCTAGTTCCTCGTTTTATTCTAATTAATTAAATTTTAAGTCACTCCAGTGACCAGGGACACCACATCGGACAGTACGGAGAGTGTGGGAAAGATACAGTCCGATGTCTCCATAGGCCTTTGGTGACCTAATCTTAGGGTAGAAAAGGGCAAAAACAAAATGCAAATAAGCCCACAATGGTGCAGCTGTACAGTAGCGCAGGAAGATATGGGCGTGTGAGCCAGCCAACTCAGGAGCCAGGTCCCCACTTGGTCGCCTGCCGCCTCTGCGGTTAGGGTGTGTGTTAGGCTAGTTTTCCCGGCAGACCTCACGCCGTTCGTTTGCTTGGGACGGGAGTGGGAGAATACCGTTCCAATTGCAAAGCCCTGCGCTCACCGGAAGTACCAGGCTGAAGAGGGGCAGGGGAAGGCCGTGCTCGGTACCTCGGTTCCGTTTTGGCTTTGACATGCTAATCCTGCAGTCTCCGCCGAGCGTGAGCCACCTGCGTCCCATAAACCTTTCGATTTACGTACACGCGCGTGACCTTTGCTATCCTGGGGGCCACTGGAGCAGTATTGACCGCTGACTTGCGAGGAAGGGCGCTTAGCAACTGCCTAGGAGATGACGCGACGTCGCCGCGGCGACGTGGGTGGCCTGCAAGGATAAACGCGGGGGAAGAGAACGAAAGCAGAGACCCACAGTGAGGGATGGGTCCGGGGACGGGACCCGGGGTCCTCGCTTGCCCCCTGCCTGGTTGGCGAGTTGCTCCGCTCCCTCCCGTCACCCCTCGCTCCTCCCTCCGCTGCCGTCTTTTGTCTTAGAAAACCGGGGGAGACCGACAATGCATTATTAACTGTGAGTGCAGGTGTTATTGAAGAGACCAATTTGCGAACAATGGCCCTTCCCACGTTGTCCAAACAGAAAGATTGCTCCGCAGCTGTTATTTGCAGAACCTGTCAGCGTCCCCGGCGCTGCTGTCGCGGCGCCAGCTGTCCTCGAGCGCGGCTCTCCCGGACCCGCCCACTCCTGACAGCCCCGCGGGGGCCCGCGCAGCGCCGCTGCCCACCGCTGGCCGCACTCCACGCCGGGCTGCCTGGCACCCGCCGCCAGACCTGGCTCCCCGCCTGGCTCGCAGCCGCTCCGAAACTCTCCCTTGGGAGCATCCTTCTGGTTCCCGTGCCCCTGAGACGTGAAAACGGAATCCAGAGAGAGAGAGAGAGAGAGAGAGAGAGAGAGAGAGGGTGGCTCTGGAGGCCTAATGCGTGGAGAGTTCGAAGGACAGATACTCGGGCAGACATTATGTGAAATGTGCGTGGCCCGGATGCCAGGTGCGGATCTTCTCCGGAGGATCTAAGTGAAGTCGTCTTGAACCCACCAATTCTGCAATCTAGGGATGTTCCCCGCCCCCGGGGAATGTGTTCATCCCTAAGGCAGAATGCAACCCTTTCAGTGCGTCCCTAAATAAAGCATCTCCCAGAGCTTCACCCTGAAGAAGTGTTTCACTATCAGCTTCCAACCCCTATGAGCTTGTTTCCCTCTGGAGAACTCTGATTCCTCTCTCTGCTCTCTGGCTCGCAGGCCCTTCCCCCAAGCCTCCATACCCAGGTCCTCTCACCAACCGCTTCCAAGTGGCAGGGCTCCCTCTCCTTCAAGGAAGAGGCACTTTCTTCCTGGTACAAAGACCTTCAGTTCCAGGGGTGTCCTGCTGGCGCCAGAATGTCTGCTGGGCTGCAAAAAAACTCGTTGGCACTTCTGCACTCCCCTTTTCTCTTTTGGGGGTGACTCCCCTACAGTGGCTGTTGAGTTTCCCAAGAGGCAGGGAAAAAAAGCTCATTAGAGCTTCCAACGATGACCTGAAAACCAGCAACAATTGGATCTTGCCCCATGCAGCCGCCAGGCCGGCTTGTAGGTGCTTAGCAAATGCTATTCCTATACGAATGGCATTCAGAACTGCCACAGTCTTTCCCAAATCCCCAAAACAGGTAATCAGTCTCCCCCAGGCTGTCCTTAGATTTGTGTGGCAAATTCAAGTCCACAAATATGACCTGATAGCGTTTTGTAGGCTACAGTACTATCTGCCTTATTCTAGAGTCACAGTTGGAAATGTAGCTTTTTTTCACACACCAATTTCTAAGACTTCTGCCTCACTCAAGTATGAAGCCATAAAACAGGTTCCCAAGATCTTAACCCTATTTTAGGCTGATGGTGACACATTCTAAAATGACAAATTGACATAACCTTAGGTCTCATTTCCTAACTTGCAATTCAAGCAAATGTATCTATTAATAGCATTCTCACTATTCCCTGTCTCTTTACTCTTAACTAAGAAATAAGAATGATGGTCATTCCAAAAGAAAAACAACAAAAAACAAAACCCAATAATAACCCTGGACTTAGCAACCCCTGGTTGATTTTTAGAATATTTATTAAGAGTGGGAAGGGAAAACAGATGATGTGAATGAAAGTTCTTCTCAGCTTCCTAAAGACTTCTCTGAGAATTCAGGAGATTTTAGTTTCTCAGGATTCTTGAGAATTATGGCCACCTCCCCCGCATTCCCCAACGCCAGGACAGCAATGCAGACCCACGCAGGATTGTGCTTCCTGAACACAAGCATTATTTCACCAGATGCAAGTTGATCTATTCCAGGGCAGTAGTAGGCCGTGCACAGTCACTGAGGGGCGCAGCGAGCCCATGCCCGCATTCAGCTGGGTAAGTGGCTGCCGGCCCAGCCCAGGCGCTGTCTCCTAGCAGAGCTGGAATGTGACAGGCAGCAGGGAGGAAAGCATTTGTGTGCGTGTTAACAAGCTGGCTGGAAGGAGGCAAGGCACTTACCTCAGTGCCACATTAGGCTGGAGAAATACAAACTGGACACCGTGCAAATATTTACCTTCAGGGACCTTTGAGAGATCTCTGGGGGAAAAGAAAATAAATGTGTACATGTATTTACTCATAATGACTCCCAACAGTCCCATCGGAACACAAGCCCGGCATTTCATTAAGCAAGCATTTTCAATGGCTGCTGGGCTGTGTCAATACAAATAAATAAAGCCCCTGTGGCCGGATGGAGGCGGAGCATTTTGATACATGAGCCCTGTCTCCCAAATGGATCCCTTCTCCAAAGGCACAGAAGACAAGGCGTTTGCTGAAGGGCTGTATTTCTCCTTCTAATGGGGTCATTTCGAGAAACCTCTAATCTGAAAGCCTATACGTTCACTCCTACAGTTTGGAGAATGTGAGGAAGCAAAAGCGATTTGATTTAGCACTCGCCACACTGACTGAATTAGCCAAGAAAAGCCCAAGGACATCTCTTGGACTGGATGAAAAATGACTTGCGAACATCAGGCTGCTGCAGCAAAGCTACTGTGGGACTCTTTGTGGGACCCTGAGGAGGAAAAGAGCATGACCTCATGTCGGCCTTAGAGTAGCCTCAGCACCCTGCACGGTCTCAGGCAATGCTGACACTGAGAACAGGCTTGCCTCGGGGGGGGGGGGGGGGGAGCCTCCAGCTTACACACACCCATTCTGCACAATGATTTGGCATAAGGAAATACCTCTCTGGGCTAAAGATTCTCCAGTCATTAGTCTCCCCTTCTCCTCCCAACTTGCCAAAGGCAGCTGGGCAGGGCAAAATGACTCAGGAGGGCAGACAGCAGGGAGCGGCCAGCCATGCCTTAAAAAATACAAGCGTTCTCTTGAGTCTACTGGACTCATAAACTTGCTAGTCACCAAGGGAGAGGAGCGAGCCAAAAAGGGATGCCAACATGAATTTGGAGCAAGGTGGGAGAGAGAGAGGCACAAAAAAATGCTAGTGAGAAAAGAAAGCTGCTGTTTTTCCTGAAGATGGCTTAGTAGAACGGGATGGGCCAGTCTGAATGCCTCTCCACGATTCTCTGGGGCCTTCTACCCTTTCTGCCTGCGCCCCGTGTTACCTGCTGGAGGAGGCCAGAGGCATCATACAGTACAACAGGACTCCTGGGAGAAAGGAACACTGGGAGAAATGGGGAGCTGAGATCCGAGCTGAGAACCAGAACCAGAACCAGTCCCCACAAGGGTCCGGCAGAGGGTGGGCGGAGGGCTGGCAGTGCCAAACCCCAATGACTCTCAGGCGGGAAGAATTCCTCGTGCACATGCTGGGTCCTTTGTGTACGGCACCTAATTTGGCCATATTGAGGGAAGACACTGTCATGAGGGAAATGCCACCTAGCACTGTTGGGAAGCTCGGAGCTTGCAGGCAGCACTGCTAACTGTCCAGGTCTCTCTGAGTCTAAGGCCCTTCACCTTCCGTCATTTAGAGAGTCTGGCAGTGGCTTGCCCCCCCCCCCCTCCCTGCTAGCCCTCCAATAACCACATCACAAAAAGACCTCACAGTGATTCCCGTCCTAACCCCTGCTTGTCCCTCCTGTCACTGTTCCTGCTCACGTCCAGCCACCGATGGTGATGTGATTGTACCAGGGTTGCTGTGAAAATGGACCGTGAGGGGGAAGGGGGAACTCCTTGAGTGTCTCAACATTCAATCACACACTTTCCAGCCTGGAGGGTTCCCAACGATAGCACCCTCCATTAGCATGATTTCCAGCTAGCTTGTTAACCAAAGCCCACCGCTTCTGGCTGGCATTCAGGCCCTGATACAAAGGAATGAGGAAAGGCTGTTTTCTCCACAGCGGTATCTCGCCTCCTTGGCAGGTGGCAGAGGGTGATGAATAGGAGAGCTGGCATCTCCTCCTCCTCCTCCTCCTTGGAAAGGAATGCAGCGCATACACACACACACACACACACACACACACACACACCCTGTCAGCCAACCCACCAGCCAGCTGACTCTTCGGGGTCAGTGGCAAGGATGGCTCCAGCTGCCTTGAGGAAGAACAAGCCCCATGTGGCTAAGGACTCTACACCGGTTCTGCCCTCTCCTGGGGTCCCAGTCCCCACCCAGGCAGCCTTTGCCTCTAAGCTCCTAGCCCTCACATTCTCCTTCCTGGTCCTTATGTGTAATCAATTCCTGTAAAATGTCATTGGACCTTTCTCCTGCCACCTTTTCTAAAAGCCCATTAGTTCCATTAAAGCCGCCCCATCATTCACCTCTCTTTCCTTTATTGTAATACATACATCAGCATATTCTACTGGATGCGGAGCTATCACTATGCTAATAGAGCCTTTTCTTCTAAATGCTGAAGCTTCTAGAATAGCTTACGCATTTCTTGTTTCTTCTGTCCTCATTCCTACAGAAAAGAGAATCTGATGGCGGGCACAGGGAGCAGCTTCCCCAGCACATGTCATCATCTGGCCCATCCATGGCTCCTGATGTTATTATGCAGAAGCCTGTGGCTGAAACCTGACCAAAGAACAGGGACCCGGCTGAAGCCAGCTTTGCAGAGCAAGCACACTGCGCTTTCTCAGATACCGTGTTACCATGTGGAGGTTATATGAAGGAGCCTGTGAAACCAGGAAGAGCACCAAGGACCTTCCTACCTTAGAGCTGCAGCCACTGATGGGGCCATCTAGAATGAGCCTCAAGAGCCCACCAGCTCTGATGTCAAAAAAAAAAAAGCATTAAACACTCTCATTTGCATTAGCACAAGGCAAGGTTGAAGCGATACCCACGGAGTAAACAGTATGAGTTTGCTGATAGACAGTAAGCAATGTCATCAATTCATTAGCATACTCTCTAAACAATATCATTAGCCATTCTCTAAAAGCCCTGAATCGACTCTCTCATCGGCTCTCAGCACAACCGTGGGAGGAAGTGTCACTATCAACCCATTTTTAAAGACAAAGAAAGAAACAGAGTCCCAGATCCGTGGTCTCATAACCAACAAGTGCTGGCTGCCAGCTTTGAAGTTAGGTCAATCTGACTGTCAGTTTTCCCTAGTCACAATTCGCCCCACTAGCACCCTGGAATTTGCAACCTAATTCTAACTTAGGTCACCAAAGCCCCATAAGACAAGGTTGTGAGATTTAGCCAAAACAAAACACTACCCCAACTAAATTAAAATTTCAGATAAATAGTGAACAGCTCTTGAAACTTGGTTCATGCAATATTTACAAATAATTATGCAGAAAATTCATTTGTTTATATGGAATTTAGACTTAGCCGAAGTCTCCTATTTTACCTGGAACCTTTAAAAACCTAGGCAGCAGCTGGGAGGTGGTGGTGCACACCTTTAATTCCAGCCCTCAGGAAGTGGAAGAAAGCAAATCTCTGTGAGTTGGAGGCCAGCCTGGTCTACAGAGCGAGTTCGAGGACAGCCAAGGCTAACAGAGAAAGAAACCAAAACCAAAACCAAAACCCAGCCAACTAGTAAAAATTAGAGCCTCTCACAGGAATAATGATTGAATTTGCCCAAGCCAGAGGTCTCCAAATTAAGAGCCAGAGGATCTTTGCTGGTTGTTGTTGTTTTATCGACTTGACACAATGTTTAGGAAGAGGGAACTTCAACTGAGAAAATACCTCCATCAGCCTGGCCTGTAGGCAGGTCTATGGGACTGTGTGCAGTGCGGCCCCTGGGTGGTCCTGAATGGAACAAAAAAAAGCAAACTGAGCAAGCAAGCCAGGAGGAACAGGCCAGTAAACAGCAACCCTCCACGGCTTCTGCTTCAGTTCCTGCCTCTAGGTTCCTGCCTTAGCTTCCCTCAACAGACTGATTCCGGATATGTCAACCAAATAAACCCCTTTCCTCCCAAAGCTGCTCCTCGTCCTAATCTTTACCACAGCAACAGAAAGCAAACTAAGACAGAATCCTTCCATTGGGACCTGATGGGAGCATCCCACCAGGACAGGCTAGAGCTGAGCGGCCCGGCCCTGGAAGTGTCCTACAAGTGACCAGAGCATCCGTGTGACACTGTGTCAGGGGCTGCAGAGACACAGCTCCTCTCTCAGCTCCTATTCATGACATGTCCCCATGTCACATCCCCCTGTGACAGTGGCAGGAAACTCCTTCCTGCTCCCTCCCTGCCACCTACTTTAAACAAAGAAACTGGGGACTTCCCTCCTCTTCTAGAGAAGAAGGGGAAAATAGCAGTTACATAGACACAAGCACACACATACACACACACACACACACACAAATACTGGATGCCAGGACAAGTTCACACTGGTAAACCCCAGGCCTGGCCAATGCGCTCATTCTTCAAGTGTGAGCATGTTTTGAAACGCAGATGCCATTTCGAAATGAGAGTCTGAGAGATGAGCAGGTAGTCTTTCCTGACACTAGCGTAGTTCCCTTCCTTTTACTGTGCAGAGAGGCAAATGCCACAGTTTCCCTCTCACCTTCTGTGAGAGTCACTTCCTCCGCTCCGACCAATACAGCAATAACCCTAGCCAGACAGTTTGAAGCCAAACACCACCTCTCCTACCTATCTCTAAGTTATTGGTGTAACACACACCCACACACACTCACAAACACACACATGCAGGCATTCCTGCACAGAGAGAGCAAAACCTGCTTTCCTAAGAACTTAACAACCGAGCAATCTGATCCCAGCTTCCTCTAGATGGGCCAAAAGCCGAAGGCTACCCCACACATGTAAGGCAGCACCCCTCCTCCAGTTTCATAATCGCCTGGTTTAGCCAGTCTGAGCTCTAGGGATCAGAGAAGGGCTTTGAGAGCAGTTACTGTAGCTCTTGTCTACACTCAGGAACAGTGATTCTCACAGAGAAAGCCTGTCTTCCCTCACAAAAAAAAAAAAAAAAAAAAAAAAAAAAGGAGCCATGTACAGAACATCCAGGAAGACGGTTCAAGTGTCTCTAACAGCATGCTAATTTATGTTTTCATATTTGAGTGATATGAACAATCGCTAAGCGCCTATTGTTTGCCAGTTACAGAAGAAAAGCTGCATTCCTGGAAGTGACAGGAGTCAGTCACTTTGCATCGCTGCACATTTGCCTGGGTGCTGATGAC